TCTCTCTCTCTCTCTCTCTCTCTCTCTCTCTCTCTCTCTCTCTCTCTCTCTCTCTCTCTCTCTCTCTCTCTCCCCTGGCCCTTAACAGCTTCTCTTACTTTCGCTCTGTCTGTGCGTGGCTAGTTCTCTCTCTGCCATGCCTTGTGTATTGTGCAAGAGACATGGCATGGCATGCGACATTCTTTGCTGTATAGATCGTCATAGGGAACTACGCGGTAAACCATAGTAGGCAGAGAGGGAGAAAAGGAGAACAAACGAGGCGCTGTGACTGACTGTTTCGTCGGAGTTTCACCCACTCACTCATCAATCAGGACACGCTGAAACCTCTAGAGTCTGCAGAGTCTCCTCTCTCTATATAGTCAATAGGTCTGTGACAATATATATGTCACCCTCGTGCGTTTGTTTTCCTCTTCTCCCTCCCTCTCTGCCTACGCTTTACCGTCGGCAGCTCTGTTTGACGATATATATGGAGGGGGTAGGAGCAGCGGGTGCGGGTATATATATATATATATATATATATGGTTGTGGAATGCATTATCTGTGTCAGCACCATTATCAATCCATTGCGACTGCCGCCGTATGTGCGGAAGGGTGTCTAACATTTCCTCATTGTGCACATCCCTATCATCCAGATGTACGTTGTCCTTTCTGTTCCCAAGGACGCTATCAGAACTGCATGATGCCGCACTGTGGCGAACGTCCTGCTGTTTTCTTGACATGTGGGCAACATGTCCTCTGTCGGGATTGTTTCGATGGGATGGTTCGTGCTAGCCGTCCGATGGGATGGTTCGTGCTAGCCGTCCGATGGGATGGTTCGTGCTAGCCGTCCGGCTGAATGCTGTACTAGCGCAACTCTCCTTGGGTATCCCTGTGAACATCCCCATCATCCTCACCGTAGTTGTCCTATCTGCCGAGGGTGTGACAAATGAAGTGTAGAAGAAACAGATAAAAAAAGAAACCGAGTAAAAAGATAAAAAATAAATAAATAAAAAAAGAAACCAAGGAAAAACACAAAAAAAGAAACCTGAGAAAAAAGAAAAAAGAAAAAAAGAAAAATATGTTATGTGGGATGGTAATTGGATTATTTGTGGAATGTGTCACTTGCTTCGTCTGTTTAATAGGCTTTCTTCTTCTGTGAGGTTTGGTTTCCTCCGCCTTTTCTTTACCTCTTTGCCTTTTGGCTGCGCGTGCAAGTGGGTCTTTATGACACGCGGGGATGGGGGCAGCCAGCGCTCAACCTGTCATCCACGTGGCTGGCCTTGTATGTAAGAGGTGACGAACAGGTGGGGCTTTCCTTCCTTACTTCTTTTTCTTTTTCTTGTTTTGTCTTTTTCCGCCTTTGCGCTCCGATTTCCAGTGTGACAATATGCAGCATGCGGGGGAATGAAGACTAAAGCAGGCACGGTGACAGACATGGAGGTAGGCATGGAGACAGACACAGAAACAGGCATGGAGACAAACACAGAAACGGGCATGGAGACAGACACAGAAACGGGCATGGAGACAGACACAGAAACGGGCATGGAGACAGGTGCGGAGGCAGGCACAGAGACAGGTGCAGAGGCGAGGACGAAAGTACACAAGGTACCTATAGGGTCAGTAATCTGGAAGGAGACAGACATAGAAACAAACTGCAGCAGCGATGCTCACACGCCGCATGCTTTTTCGCGGGCACTCTCCAACAACGCTTGCGAAAGGATAGACTTCCTATATTCGTAAACGTCAACACATGTACCCTGCGCATGTGACCCGCCTCTCCAGCTGGTTCCGCAGCATGCTTCGATGGTGTATTCATC